TTCAGGGTCATTTGGCCCTTTGCTTTCAGGTCTGTCGCAAGGAGTACCACCATAGTGGGACTATACACAAAATAGCCAAGGAGAGAAAAAGACAAAGGCCCAAGATCCCAGGATCCACTTCAAGAGCAAGCTGCTCCGCACGCCCCACCATTGACCTACCATCCCTTCCATCAGGCTCTTCCTCCTGAAGGTTCCACTTCTCTTTCCTAGTGCCTCTGACTTGTCACTTGGCCATTCACACGAGCCTTATACGACATTCCAGATACAAACTCTAGTATCCAATTCACAGCAGTTAAAGGGATAAATAGTACTTGTATAAATAGTATACATATAAATAGTATGTATAAATAGTACTCGTTATGTTTTTGCAAAGAACAGATAAAATAAGAAGTTTATCAATATGTAGATCATTCCTGAGAATCAGAAAAGAAAGCAAAGAAGAGAAAAGAAAAAAAAGGGGGGAAGACTTTAAAAACCAAGTAATTGGGCTGGAAAGGTGGCTCAGTGGTAGAGCGCTTGCCTTGCATGCATGAGGCCCTGGGTTCGATTCCTCAGCACCACATAAGCAAAAAGAAAAAAGCCAGAAGTAGCGCTGTGGCTCAAGTGGTAGAGCAGCTAGCCTTGAGCTGAAGAGCTGAGGGACAGGCCCAGGCCCAGAGTTCAGGCCCCACAACTGGACCCAAAAAAAGAAAACCAAATAATTTTCTGACCCAGTAAAGGACATAAGAGTTCAGCAGAATCTCCGCAGAAAACGCTTCCAGGATGCTCACACACAATAGGGTTTTACAAATAACAAATAAAGTTCCCTAAAACCTACTGGATACTATTGATGATTTCTATTAAAACTCACTTATTAGTAACACAAATTATTTTAAAAGCTATCATTACTGGAAAGCTACATTTCGTGCTGATTTACAGGCATTATTTCATGGACTCTTCTTAGTGACTTTCTATGACAAGCATCTCAGTTATATATTACTTCATGAAAACAATCCTAAAACCCAGTAGTTTCAAACAATAATGATAGTTTAAGTCCTCTTATAAAAGGGCAAGGGTTGGTCTGTGTTCAAGCAGAGTCAACTAAACCCAGGCTTACTGGATGATCCACTTGCAAGACTGTCATTCACATGGTCAGGATTGGTCCCAGGCATTTACCAAGAGCTCAGCCAGGCCTGAGGGCCACAGGGCTCAATGATTCCCACATGGGTGTGGGCTTCCTCACAGCATGGCGGCTGGATTCCAAGAGCAATATATGTCTAGGTGCTTAGCATTTTGATCATAGAGCTTTGCTAGGAATATAATAATCAATTTCACTACAGTCTGTCTGTCAGTCAATGCTGTCACAACATAATCCTGGAGACCAAAGAGAAGACACATCAATCCTACCACAAAGTGAGAGGAGTAAAAAGGGAGCAGTGTGGGAAATGTGTGTCCAGAGATCCTTGTATGGCTATCTTTGGAAAATTCAATATGCTACAGAATCCTTGGTATCATCTCCATTTGGAAAATGGTGAAACTGTGTCCTACACAGACTCAGACACAGTTTTCTAGGCACACAGCTCACAAGGCAGAGTCCTTGCCAGCAACTCTCCAGCTTTCTAGTTCTTCTAACATTTCTCCTGTAATTAATCTGGCCTGGATCACCTCTCCTTTCCTTTTCTGGGAAGGGTCTATGTCATGTCACTAACAGGAAGATGAAGGTAAACTTCCCATTATGGGAGATTTTGCTAAATGAGATACCTGTCCTTTCTCCTCAACTAAAGTCTGAACTGCTTGGAAGACAGGAAGCAGCTCAGTAATACCTTGTATCCTCTTGAAATTTGGGCACAACAGGAGTTCAATGAACGCCTATTTGAGAGGCACCTATTTATTTCCAGCCTGTGTCTCTGATTCTCCACCACACTGTGAATGAAAGGCACAGGGAGAGGGGATGGAGCCTTGGTTCTAAGCTCCTGCTCCAGGTCCTCAACCCTCAACTCACAGATAGCCCCTCATGTATATTCCTTGACTGAATTAAGGAATGTATGCATGCATGAATGAATGATAGATGGATCTAAGTGGGGTAGTGTTCCAGGTTTATCATCACTTTCTTGATCCAAACTAGCAAAATCTAGCATAAGAGATAGACAATGCCTTCTCATTGAGACCTCCAAGCCTAAGACAAGGCAACCTGATGTTTTGGTGGAAAATTAAACCCAGTGGGCCTCATGTTGGAAAGAAGCAGATAAAGATGCATCACACAGAGGATGGCAGTGCAAAGAGTTTTTAGCTGAAAGAGAGAAAGGATGTGAGCTTTGTTGTTGTTTTCATTTTATGCTGGTACTGGGACTTGAACACAGGATCTGTACACTGTCTCTTAGCTTATTCACTCAGGACTGGTGCTTTACTAAGTGAGCCACGTCCCCATTTCTAGGATTTTGGTGGTTAATTGAAAATAAACGTATCATGTACTTTCTTGACCTGGCTGTCTTTGAACCATGATCTTCATAGCATTATAGAGGTGAAACACTGACAGCCAGATATAAAGCTGCAATCTTTAAGCCTGTTCATCTTCTCTGACATTTTCTAACACTCTCCTTACTGGGATCCTGGGGTTAAGTGCAGAAGACACAAGGAGAAGAGGAGGAGGAAGCAGTCAGTGTTCCCTGATGCCTCCTCTACTCCATGCTGTCTGCTGAGTAGAAGCTTGCGTGTTTACTCCTACTTAGATAGTTTCATAATGAAATGAAATGGGGCTGGGGGAAGGCAGCTGGAACTGGAAGTAGGGACAAGAAGTAGCTGAGATGCAGCAACCAATTCCAGTTCACCAAGATTCTACATTGGAAATCCCACAAGTATCCTGAACTGTTAATGGAGTAACTCAGAGGTTCATTCTCCTTTACCACACATCTCTGTAAATAAGTAAAACCCTCTGGCTTCTACTTACCATGCCAATCTAAACCTGGTTTATCCCAGGTTTTTCCCATCTACCACACTTTCTTGGTTTGAAAAGAAATCACTGCAGGAAGGTACACACATTTTCACTTCCCAGAATGAGTGGCACAATGAATTGTAACCGTGGAGCGATCGTGGAGAATTTTTTTTCTATTTTTTGCTTTGCTTTCTAGAGTTCCTTCAGCAAAAATTAATTTTGCTGAGTCTTGACCCTTAAGGGTCTTAGAGGGAGGTCATAAACTGACCTCAATTGAAATGCTGAACTGAAATCTCTTTGTACAACTACTTAATAAGATATGTATGTATGTGGATTTATAAAACATTTACTAAATAGCATGCTGTGAAAATAAATGAAGAAGTAAGAGAGAGGTAATGCAATCTCATGTCTAATTTCTCTATTGTGTTGGAAGGTATCTTTTCATAAACACAGTCTACCAAAATATTGGGTACTAGTGATGACTCACACCTGTAATCCTAGCTACTCAGGAGGATGAGCTCTGAGGATCATGATTCCTAGCCAGCCCAGGCAGAAAAGTCCGTGAGACTCTTATCCTCAATTAACCATCCAAAAGCCAGAGGTGGAAGTGTATGTGGTCAAGTAATAGAACTCCACCAGCCTTGAATGAAAAAAGCCAAGTGAGAACTCCTGAGACCCTGAGTTTAAGACTGTTGAGAGAAAGATTCATATGATCAGTGAGCATAGTTTTTCCTTGTCTGGTCTGTAGTAATTTGCTGTGCTTTATCAAAGGCACTCAACAAGCAGCTCCACAGTCTGCCCTTCTCAGCATGGTAGGGGAACAAAGTCCCTGCATGGCTGCAGCTGTGTGACTACTGAGGAGGGAACTTGAGTCTTCCTCCACTGTGAGGTACTGCCTGGGGATTCAGGCCCTGGCACCTTATCAGCTGCCTGGCAACACCTCAGTTATGAGGTAAAGAAGAATATGTTAAGATGGTAACAGAGCTGGGAAATTCCTACCACCCAGTGATGTCCCAGGGTCAAACAGCAAGGCAGGCCTCAGTGTCTGTGATGACATGTGAGAGGCCAGGTGCCTGCAGGTACCATGGAAAGCCAGCACTCTCTCCACTCTATAAGCACACCACCCTGCTGTGCCCTGAATGCCTTTGCTCCTTTATGTGTTTACTACCTGGTACTTTCCAGCACTTACAGCATGTTTCTTCTTCCATTAAAACAAAACAAACAAAACAAAACAAAACAAAATCAGCACCCATTCTATGATCACAACCTCATACTTTGAACAAGAACGCTAAGGGACAGCATCCAGGGTCTGAATTCAAGCCCCAATACTCTCCTGTGCATCAGTGCTGCCCAGGCCTTTTGTAGACCCTATTATACTTCTATGTCTCTTAAGGTCACTGCAGCTTAGTCTCATCTGAAGTAAGAATATCAGCTCCATCACAGGTCTGCTGTGCTCACTCTGCTTCATCAAATATGGGTTAACAGAAACAAACAAACATTTAAGTATTCCTTTTAAGCCAGCAGGAAGGTCTCACACATTTCTTCCACATTCTGGGAACTGTTCACTCAGCATCCTCATCCAGAATCGTATCCCTGAAAAATCTGTAGCTTCCTTTGGGAAAAATCACAAGACAATCTTTGCAAAGCCTCCCCTGAGCCTCCTAAGGCAGTGGAGAGAGTTCAGAACTCCAGAGATGTCTTTGGAAATGACCTTCAAGCCACTGAGTGTCTACAGTGTGAACTCTGACAGCTCCACACCCCCAGGCCTACGTGTTAGGTCTGATGGCAGCCTGGAAGGTTCTAGAACCTTAGCAAGAAGGGCTTAGTGGAAGGAAGTCAGGTCACTGGAGACATGTCTAAGGGATGGTCGGACCCCACCCCTGCTGTTCCTCTCTTTTTGCCTCCCGGCCACCATAAAGTAGGCAGCTTTGCTCCATCCTGTGCTTCCACCAAGAGGACTTGCTTCACCACAAGGCCCAAAGGCAAGGGGCCAAGACACCAAGACCCAAAGCCCTGAAACCTTTCTTCCTTAGAGTTTGGCTGGTCTGGGTGTTTTGTCACAGTGACAAAAACTGATAACACAGGTGTGGAGCCGACCCTATGGCTTTCCTAAGTCAGTTTGACACCCAGACTGCTCCTGTCAAGAATACTAACCTATGTACTTCGGTGGAATCAAATGGCTTGACTCATGGTCAACTTTTTTACAGTTCAGATATAATAATAGGAAATCTCTGTAATGGGCTGTATTCACTGAGAGAGGAGAAAAAAGTTTTCTTTGGTGGTGCTGGGGTTTGAACTCAGGGCCTCCCATTTGCTAAACAAGTGCTCAGCCAATTGAGTCACTCCAACACTTGCTTGATGCAGTATTATTTTTGTTTGATTGTTTGTTTTGTTGGTCATGGCACTGAACTCTGGGCCTTGTTGCTGGCCCTGAGTTCTTCAGCTCAAGGTGAGCACTCTACCACTTGAGCCACAGTGCCACTTCCAGGTTTCTGGTGGTTA